CTGCTGCTGCTAGGGGCGGCGTGGCTGGCGGGCCCGGCCCGCGGGCAGAATGAGACGGAGCCCATCGTGCTGGAAGGCAAGTGCCTGGTGGTGTGCGACTCCAACCCCACGTCCGATCCCACGGGCACAGCTCTCGGCATCTCTGTGCGCTCCGGCAGCGCCAAGGTGGCTTTCTCTGCCATCAGAAGCACCAACCACGAGCCGTCCGAGATGAGTAATCGCACTATGATCATCTACTTTGACCAGGTGAGCGCTCCATCAGATTGGTTTGCGAGGGGGAGAGGTGGAGGGTTGATGTTCGATCCACTCCAAGGCTCTGCGGAGCCTCGGGAGCAGGAGTTCGGGACTGACTCTTGTCTACTTCCCTTCGTTCCCGTCTCATTGTAGGTACTAGTGAACATCGGGAACAACTTTGATTCAGAACGCAGTACTTTCATCGCCCCGCGCAAAGGGATCTACAGTTTTAACTTCCACGTGGTAAAAGTCTACAACAGACAGACCATTCAGGTCAGCCGCTGCCTCAGGGTCAGGCCCCGGGCCCGGCAGAGGGTTATTACCTGCTGGAGTGAGCGGGCCGTATGGGGGGTGGGAGATAGAAGGGGCAGCTGCATGTGCCTGGGGTTGCTTGGATGGACGAGTAGCAGGGCCTCATAGTTCTGTGGCTTGGACTGTCTCTTGTTTTCTTCTCTCGCCGGCTCTTGGAACCTAGTCCTCTTCCCACACAGAGTTTCCTGCCTTCGCCTTCTGGGCCCCTCCAAAGAGGTTCTTCCCCTTTTCCTACGGGATACCAGGGATTTCCCATAGCGGTTGCTGGTTAGCATCAAAGACAGTTCCTCTTTCCAGAAGCTTTCTGCGACCGTTGCCTTCAGCTCCACAGACCATATCCTCATTCTCTGTCCCAGCTCGGAAGCCTGGACTCCTGTGCGCTTGCCTTTAGCACCACGCTCGGGCCGGGATGGGAAGGGTGCTCCTGGCATCCCTTTGGAGACTCTGGGTTTTTGAACTACCGGCGGGCGCCGAGCCCAAGCGTTTGAAGGGTGGAGAGAGCAGGGGGCGGGTGTAGTGCTGCTCCCCCCCCCCCCCCGGGCTCCAGCTGTGCCCGTGTCAGCACTCACCGTCCCTCCAGGTTCCCAAAGGTGTCCAGGTTTCCTTTGGGCAAAGACAAGAGCCGGGATGCACGGCTGGGGAGAGGGCGCTGGGCCTTTGGCTGCTGATGCCACCGCAAGGGCAAAACCAGGCGGTGATGGCACGGCCGGTTCTGGGGATGAAGCACAGAGTGCAGCCCTGGCAGAATTTTTCATCAGTCCGAAGCCTTGCCCAGCTTCCCTACCGTGTCTCCACTGTGTCAGGCAGCTAGGACCGGGAGGAAGCAGGGTTTGGTTTGGCTTGGTTCTCCCGGAAACTCCAGTTGCCCGAGTTTCTCTTTGAAGCGGGGTGGGGCAGGGGGTAGGGGTGGGGGTGGAAGCGAATGTCTTGGGACACCAGAGCTGCCTATGGGTTCGTTAAGCTGGGTAAAAGAACGCAGTCAGGCTTTGCTTGGCGCGCTTTAGGAATGAAAGCGACTCCCATTTTGGGGGCAGACCCTTCCTGTCACCCAGATTGGCTGTTTTTCGCCCCACTGGTCCCTCAGCAGTAAGCTGCAGAGCCCCCTTTTTAAACCACCCACCCCCTTCCACCATGCTCCCAACCTTTGTGGCTGTTAGCCAAGCGGGGAAGGTTCGCATCTCCACTGCTGCTTAGGTACCCTCCTCTGTTGCGCCTCTGAAATAGGCCTTTCTCTTTCCCAGGTAAGCCTCATGTTAAACGGGTGGCCGGTGATTTCAGCCTTTGCTGGTGACCAGGACGTGACCCGGGAGGCCGCCAGCAATGGAGTTCTCATCCAGATGGAGAAAGGCGACCGAGCATACCTCAAGCTGGAGCGGGGGAACTTGATGGGGGGCTGGAAGTACTCGACCTTCTCTGGATTCCTGGTCTTTCCCCTCTGACTGGCTCATCACCGTAATGGAGGCAGGGAGAGGGCGAAGGCAGGAGGAAGGCAGGAGGGGGAATGAGAAGACGGCAAGACTGGAAACTTCCTACATGGTCCCCAGCTGTATCTGGGTAAAAGGTGTGCACCGGTGGCGGTGGGACAACTTTGTCCGTTTCCTCATTAGGAGAAGCAAATTCTGCTTAGCTCTGCACACTCCCATTTCCAAAAATAAACTCGCCTCCCCCATTCCGGTTGAAGTAATCAAGAAAGAGAGACTGCCTTGTCATTGTTTCTTACCCCCATGTTCATGTTCCCTAAAATTTATACAAAAGAAACTTTGTATTTCACTGTATAACGTGAAATATCTTCCTCCTCAGCCCCCTCGGAATCTTTCCACCTGCTGAAATCTAATATACTCCTCCCCCCTTTTAGTTTGGAGAGGGGAATAAGGTTTTTGTTTTGTTTTTTGAATGGGGGAGGTAGTTTTAATTTGGCAAGTATTGCTCTTAAAACACCGCTCAAGAGTTAATTAGCTGAAGATACTTTGTGTCCTCCGCTGCTTGTTAGCAGAGACAGGACTTACCTTAGTGGTGACTGGTTCAAAAATATATATAAATATATATCATTTGTATTCAAAGAACTCTTCCCAGTGGAAACTGGCTGTATTTCCGTATTTCTATGTCCTATTCGGAGTGATCGTGAAATCTAAGGCTGCTTGATGTTCTGATGCTTGTCAATGCCCTCGTGTTCTGTGGCTCCACTAAATGCCAGGAGGTTCTTCCGGACGCTTCCTCGTCCTCTGTAACATACGTGTGAATAGCCAAGATTTAATTTTGCTTTAACCCAATAAAGTTGAAGTGGGACTTTTATTTTTCTGAAACAGCTTTCTAAACTCCGCATCTTCCCCAGTTGCGAGGTTTGGGGGCGGGTTGTGGAAGCGCAAGGCTGAGAGGCGCCGGGGACTTGGTGGGAAGGCCTGGGCGTGAGGGCTTCTAGCGAAGCCGGCCTGCGCTCCTTTTTTTTGCGCCAGGCCTACAGCCAGCCCGCATTCGCCTGTGCTCCCTGCTTTGGCCAAAATCTTGCCTGGCCAGGAGACACTACCGGCCTGGAAGCGAAGTGGGATTTTTTTCGAAGTCCAAATACATCAGGAATAATCCCAATTGGAGGAGTCGGCACTCTTCCCACGCCTCCGCCCCTGGATGTCCCGAACCGTCAGCCCCACATTTCCCGGAGCAGCTTTATGTTTTACACCAGCGCCTCTGAATCCCGCGTCCGTCTGCCGTACTAGCCCGGCGCCCAGGACCTGTGATTGCGCTCCACGCAGGACTTTCGTTCGAGAGGTTCGTCCAGGAGGTTTGATTGTATCGGAACATAATGTGAAAGCAAAACTGAAATAAACGACTTCGTTTTAAGTCTAGAAGTCTGACCCAGTCGCTTCAGCCTCGGGGAGGTCGGGCGCCGGAAAACGGAAAGCGGGTGGAGGCCAAAGTCCTGGGGCAGGAGCCTGGGCCTGGATTGGCGCCTCTGGCTTTGGTCCTTTTAGGAGATTTTTCCTGGCCGGACGTTCGGGGGTGAATTTTATTGGCTCCTAGGGGTTGGAGAGAAGGGGGTAATAATTGCACAATAAGCAACATTTCTTGTTATTACTGCGGCTCCTCTGATTGAAATTCACCGAGCACTCGGCCTTCCTTGAAATGAGGGCATGTTTCTCCTCCGCGCACAAGCCAGGGGCCGGCATCCCTTGCCGCACGCTTCGCATCCCCAGTGCCCAGGGTGCCGCGAGGGATAGCTAGAGACTTCGGGAATGAGTTGTGCTTTTCTCTTCCTGCCCAACAGTTCTCTCCCCCATAGTACCCAGGAAAGTAGGGACGAGGCGCAATCCTGAACCTTAGAGGAATTTAAAAAGAAGCTATTCTTTTTAAAAAGGGACACTTTCAAAAATGCTTTTCTCGGCATTCTTCTAGTTGGGAGGGAGAGATCAGGGAGAACTGGAGCCTTCAGCAGCGAAACCACCTCGACCCAACCGCTCTGTCGGCACACAGCCTGCCTGCGAGGTAGGCATACGCGGTGCACCAGGTACTCTCCGCCTAGGACAAGGGCTTTCGGGCCACGCAGGTTTTATAGTCACAACCGAAAGAAGCAGCACCCCTACTGCGCTTGCGGCGTTCTCTCTGTGGGAGGGTGGTCACCCTCTTCCCCGGGGAGGGTACCACCAAGGTGTCTGTCCAGACTTTGGGACCCCCAGGCGGTGCTCCAGCTGGGTGACTTGGGCCCATCCCTCCTCTGGCCTCAGTTTGCCCAGCTGTATAAAAACAAAGAGGATTTAAACATCTCCAAGAGTCCCTCCTACTCTGAGATTTCATTCATCCTCTGTTACTTGAACGTGGGCCTGCAATTCTTTTACCTGGGTTTAATGAGTCCTGGTTGTTATTTGCACTGATCTGGTTCCTGGAGGCAGTCTCCTGAATGCTAGGCCTGAGGCTGGGGTGGAGGCAAAGAGGAAGCTTGCCTATCCAGAAACTGAGGTTCACTCAGAGCCAGCCTCTTCTCTGGGGCCTGGGAGGTGAACCAGAAGGGAGCAAGTGGAACCCAAGTGGGACAGAGAGGGGAAGGTTATCCCTTGATTCTGGGCTCCAGTTAAGGGAGGGCTCCTTCCTCCCCAAAGCATTAGAGGTCCTTGGCATTAGAGATCCTTCTCAAACTGGCTCCAGCCACTTCCTCCTCCACCTGCTGGTCCCTTCCCTCTGCCATTTGATGAGCCCATCTCCTACTACTGTCTTCATGCCTCTGCACCTGCTGTTTCTTTGCTTCAATTTGCAGTTCTCTCCTTCTCTACTTTTCAAAATTCTGTCCTACTGGGGGATCGAAGCACTTCATGTAAGAGGCTGCCTCCTCTGGGAAGCTCTTATGTAGATACAGCACAGGCACTGCTTTTCCAAGGTTCACTATCCCCTCCTCACTCTTCCTGCAGGCCTTGCTTGGCACTGGTTGGCAAGGGAGATATCTAGGGCTGGGCCTGTCTCCTGCTCTGCAGTGGGTTCCATAGAATAGTGGTACCCACTCCAGCGAGCTCTCAGAAGTGTTAAGCAGGCACTCTGGTCCCAGAGGCTTAAGGAGAAATATGGGTTTCTCCACCCCCAAACTGCCCTTATCTTCGGGTCTGAGCCCCCATTAGCCTGGGTGGAGATGTGGACAGCTTTCCCCAGGGACCTGGAGTTGGAGCTAGAGACTTCACTGGGGCTGAGCACTTGGGAGTTGGGCCACCTCCCTCACCTCTGGAGTGGAGGTGGGGGTGATTGTTACCTGTTCAAGAGGCAGGTGAATCAACCCTCAATTGAAAATTGTACCCCAGCTGAGAGGGAGCCAGATACTCTCAAATGGTGTGTTGGGGACTGAGAGGGATAGAGAAAAAAAAAAAAAAA